TATTTTCATGAATTTTTTTTCTTGAATTAGGGTTGTCTACTCGTTGATTTTAATTCTTGCCATACAAACCCTAATTACTAGCAATAATATTAAAAGCGATAAATTGTGGAAGTTTAAAATTCTACGCTATTACATCATTTAAGGGATGGGGATACAAATTACAAATGGGGGATGAAAGCAATTAAAAGCTAATTACTATTACAACCATATTGAATAATGAATAACAATAAAAATATATAAAAATATAAAGATAACGTAAAAAGAAAGGAACATCATTTTAAAAAACCTTTATGCAACGACACACGCGCTTATGCATCGATACATATCACTTCTTGTTTTTTTGGAAATTAAAACCAACTCAGTATGAATCGACACATTCACATTTTGTATCGACTCATGCGAAACTAAAGGTTCTGGATTCTGTGTGGACAACAATTTATATCGATACATAATGGTTTGTATCGACTCATTTCTTGGTTGCATCGACACATTTGTGTTTTGTATCGACTCATACACAATTTGTCTCTCTGTAATATATCTTGATAACAATATGTATTGATACATAATGCATTGTATCGACTCATCCTATGTTCTGTAACTAACATGAGTCGACTCATATGAGATATGTATCAACTCATACTGTAGTTTTACTTCTAACATTTTTCTGATACATATATAACTCATTTTTTGACTTCACCCCTAACCTCGCGCCAACTTCTTCATCACCATTTTTGAATTTTGTAACTTCCTCATTTCTTAGCCATTTGCAAAAGTACAAACATGAAACTTGCCCCATCTTTTTTTACCACGACTTCAACCATATAAATTTCATAAACTATAAATCAAAGATGAGTGAGAATTTTGTTTGGCCTCAAAATAAAACCTAACTTTTCTGGATTTTCAGTTCTAAAATTCTCAACACATGGTTAATAAAAATTAAAATTAAGCATATGGTTAGCTTCAGGGAAATGATATCTACATTTTATCTTCACAAATAAACCACTAATGATGTTTGTATAAAGAGTTCAAAGTCAAGAAAACTTACCTTGAAACTGAAATTCATGTTTTGATTTAGAGAACCTTTCAAGGTGTTGTGATGATCAAAATAGCTTCAATGGACCTCCAGGAAGCTAATGCAATGCTTAGTTTTGATTGAGAGTTGTTGTATTGTCTTGGAGAAGTCAAGTTGCAAAGTACTGTTTTTTGAGTTTGTAAGATGGTGATAGTGATGTTACAAAAGTCATTCTTGTGTTTGGAAAACTCCTATATGATGTATATGAAGTATTTGGGTGGTTTGTTTGGGTAAAAATTCAAAGGTATGAGAGATTCAAAGATTTGGACTTCAAAGCTCAAAGATGGAGGTTTTATGAACAGTTCTGGTTTTTTGTGAGTGAAGGAATTTTGAGTGCTTGTTTTTCTTTCTTTTTTTTTAAAAATCTTTTTCTTCCCCTTATCTCTTACAATTGATCTCTCTATTTATAGGCAAGATGTTTGGGAGGTTGAAGTAATAAGATTTTCAAAACAACATGTTATGGTTTGGTTGGATTGTACATGAGAATTCATGACTTTGCATAGTTCCAAAGGGGCTTGGCCTGTTTTTTAGCAGTGCTTTGCAGGTTGTAGATGGTTTCTTCTTGCTTTGATATTATCTATGTGCAGAAGAGACCATTGAGAGGCTCAAGGATTTGACATTAGGGTTAAAGAAATGCTTTTCAAGAATGACAATGGTGCCTTTATGCCATAAATGGAAAGATCTTTTGGACAATGGCTCAAACACTTGGATAATAGCTCAAGAGTAGGTGTAAGCATTACATTATGGTGAGGTTTGCAAGTTATAAGGTCTGCAACACAAGATTATACAACATGGCATATAGATTGGATCATGTGTTCTTCACCAAAATGACTTGTAATTCAAGAATGGATGCCCAACTTCATGTCTTTGAATCTAGTAGCTCAAGTATGATAAGTTCATGCTCTTGGATGTTTTGGAAGCTTGGAACATCATCTACAACTTTCATGTTTCCCACTTTTTTTAAATCAAATTGGAACTAGGTGAAAATTGACCAAGAAGTTGAGATGAAAACTGACCAAAACCTGTTGAAAATTTCTCTAAGTGTTAGATAAAAATGTCATGACTTCATGGGCTTATATCTTCAAATCTAAGCACTTTTTGGTCATCAACCCTCTAATACAAAGTTGTAGAATTCATCAAGATCTATAACTTTCATGTTGAAAGTTTTCTTTGAATCATCTTTCATCTTGGTGAAAAATTGTCATGAAGTAATGAAATTATCAAGGGTAAAAACACTTAGAAATTTTCTAAGTATTGAAAATCTTGACTTTTTATTGACTTTCTTGATTCTTGATTCTTGATTTTTGATTCTTGATTCTTGATTCTTGTTGACCAAATTTGATATTATTGAATGTCTTGGTGAATTTTGATTTTTGAAATTCAATGTTGACCAAAATATCAAAGTTTGACTTTTTGTGTATCGGTTGACTTTCGTCAGTTGATCCAAATTTCAACTATCAAACCTTTGATCTTGAGAAATGATCCAAGCAATGAAATTAAGTCGCCATGTTGCGTTTGAGTCCTTGAGATTATTCTTTAAGCCATTAGGTCATGTATTAGGTCAAAAGTTAATGATCAATCAACTTCAGTCAAAACCTTAATTTGTGGTCTCAGTGTTTCGGAGGTGATTTTGTCTGATCAATTCTTGAGAATCCTTGAGTATTAGAGATCCTTTGTGAGGAATTGTCTTGAAAAAAGAGAGAGAAAATTGTGGGGTGTAACATTAGGTTTAGGGGATTGTTTTAGGAAGCCTTAGTTTGGTTCATGAGTTTCTCCTATAGCAAAAGCTCTCTTTTGGTTCGTGAAGATCAACCATCAAAATATCGACAAAGGTTTCTGAGCTCTGCCCAATGTAAAATCTCTATTGGTTTGAGATTAGTCCATGTAAAATATCATCTTGGTTCCTGAGTTTAGTCTGGTGTAAAATCTATATTGGTTTTAGATTATCCTGCTTAAAATCTCTTCTCGGTTTGAGGTCATCTCGTGTAAAATCTCGGTTTGGTTTGGAGGATAGCCAACATAAAAATCCATATCGGTTCAGAGTATAGCTAATGTAAAACTCGATATTAGTTCAAGATCATCCCGTGCAAAATCTCCATTTGGTTCGAAGGAGAAACTCTTTTCGTTGTTTGGTTGAAAGTTAGCCATTAAACTTCAAATCCTCGTAAAAGGAGTTTCGTGGGCATATCCTATTAAAAACTCTCAAGATAGTTGAAACTCTCAAGAAGAATTCTTGGGGAAAATAGTAGGCCAAATTGATTAGATTGAACCTATATAAACCCTGGGTGTCGCTCTCATTCCGTTATTGTTTTTTTGTTATTTTCCTTCCTCTATTTTCCATATATTTCCTTTTCCGCTGATTATATATTTGTTTGTTTTTAAAATGATTTTATCAAAGATTTTTTAATCAATGTTTTTCAACTCTCCACAATTCAACCTTCTTATGTTTGAAGCCACATGTATAATAAAATTTTTGTGGGTTCTCATGACCAATGATATCATCCAAAGGCACCATGATGAGAAAGATGGTTGGACTACTGTCAGTGGATAGGAAAGGGGAACCTTCCTATCTGGAAATCATGGAACGACCCATCCTAGGTTTTAAGGACCATGAGAAGGTTGAATACACCCCGGAGAAATATTCCCTTTGGTGGCAATGATCGTCGTGGACAATTTTGATGTATCAAGGATTCTTGTTGATGGAGGGAGTTCTTGTGACATCATGTATGCAGAGGAAAAAAAGATTGTAAAATTATATGGGCAATGATCTACAAGGATTTAATGTAATATTTAATTGCCCATGGGTTTCATAAAGTTGATGGTTATGTTCAAAAAAGGAAGAGATACGAGGACAATCATTATCCAATTCCTGGTAGTCATATGCAAAAGTGAATACAACTCTATTATATGGAGTCCTAGATTTGCGACATTGAACGTGGTCGCATCTATCATCCATTTGAAGATTAAGTATCTAAATATTCATGACAAAATAATATTCATCTTTGCAGATGATGTAGGAGCATAAATTATCCATAAAATCCTAGTGAGAAACCTAGATGCAACCTTCATCCAAGAAAGGGAGAAGGTAAGAGAGGCAAGTTCTTCTAGACAACACCTTCATGACATCAATGTCACAAACTTCAACACATGCCTAGAGTAATCCACATCTAAGGATGAACAAGGAATAAAGAAACTTCTACTTGTTAGGAAAGAATAAAAATCTCAAGGCTTGTCCCTAAAAATGATGTCATAATTCACTACGCCAAATAAGCTATTTAATAGCGCTTTTTTTTTTTGTTTTTGATAGCGCTTAAAAGTGCTATTAACCGCGCCACTATTGTAAATATTTCTTATTTAATAGCACTTTAAAAGCGCTATTAAAGTACCAATTTATAATAGCGTTTTAATTAAAGTGCTATCAAAGTCAGTATTTTGCATGTTTTTTGTTTGTTTTTTTATAGCACTCTAAACAAAAAGCGCTAATATATAACATATGTTTGATAGCGCTTTCAAATAAAGTGCTAATAAATGGTACATATTTGGTACAATATTTTTAATAAGTACAGTACAATATTTTTTCTTACACAATCATTTTTTTTGGTGTAAATATAAAATAACTATATTTAATTCAACACAAATAACGCTTTAAGTTACTCATTACATATATATTATGATCCATCAAATACCAAATAACATTTTAAATTACCAAATCCTATTGTTTCCAAATATCATAACATATAGAATATTAAGAGGGCGTTTGTATAGCCAAATTTGTAGATGCCCATCTATGAGTACTTCAATCCAAATCCAAAAACATACAATCAAATTCTCTAAACAAAACACCAAAAAAATAAGAAAGGATAACAAAACAATCCCATGTAGTAACCACCTTCATGATCCAAAAGCGTTGAACTCATAGATACAATCACTAATTAGGCAAAATAATTGCTTCTTGTTTTCCTGTATCATAGAAGGAATATTGATTATGTATTGTACAATAAAAACTAATTCAACATATAAAGAATAATCAAACATTTAATATGGGTCTAACAAGAAGCGCATAAAATAAGGAATGATTATTATAAACTAATAACAATAAATCGATATAACTAATGCAATAATTGAACTAATTAAGTCTAACAAGAACATGACTTGTAAATATATAGACCACAATTTCCATTATTAGATGCATATAAACACTAAACAGAATATAATTCAAATTCTCAAAATATACATAAACACTTAATTGTGTGTAACTTTCTTTTCATGATCCAGAACTAGATATCAAACACCTTACAATTGTTACTACGAATATCTAAAAATTTCAAGTAGAAACGGAAAACTATAAATCAATCATACAATAAGATATAAGTCATTTTTCCGTATTTTCCTATTTCAAAATTTAAATTCGAGACCAAGAAAGAACACTCAGTACCTCTGTGCCATATCTTCTAAACCAATAAAATACTAAAATCATTTATACGACAACTCTAAATCCAACTCAAAAATTAAAATTAAACATCTAAGTCAAAACATTTGAACTCTAAATCCATGAGTAATATTTGTCTTGTTTATCAAGTATCAAGTCAAGGAAAAACTCACCGAAAACATCATCCACCACATAAGTAGCCCAGTCCTCCTTAACCTCAGTTAACTTATCATGAGAGTAGGTACGACATTTGTGGTCAAAAAAGTACTTCAAATATGAAAACATCAACAATTAATCGTGTTAGAATTAAATTATATTAATTTAATTTACAAAAGAATAATAATAATAATTAAAATCACGTACATTTGTGGGGATCATAAATTCATTTTCCATGATGACCTCTTTCATAAATCGCATTACAAAGTATCCACAATCAACGCCATTAATTTGACGAGGACACTACAAAAAAAAAATTTATATCGATTAATTTTACTCCACATAATTGTTTTAAAATAACATTAATTTAGACACATACCTTTATTTTTTGCCATGAAATTTTCTTTGACTTTGACACTTTAGGCACTTTAGAACTACTATTAGCACGATAAATTTGCAAAGCGCTAACAAAATGAAATTAACTTCAAATGAGTAATTATATAAATAATAATACGTACATAAATTTTAAATTAAAAGAGTCTATACTCACTTCTCAAACTTTGTTTTAAAATTTTGATGTTTTGTTGGCTCACCATTCAACGGATCCATGTAATATATCACCTCAGCATTGAGATTGATGACAAGCAACACCCAATGTTTCCTGCACCCAACATTTAAATATTGCATTAAAGATTCACATTCATTAAAGTTTTTTCTCGTTAATTTAATAACTTTTTGAATATAAATCTCACCCTAGATTACAAGGTGCAAGAATCATCTTATCTTTGAACTCCTCATCTTTCAAAAGTATTTTTTCTATACCATTTCCTAGATTATCCTCCCGTGATACATGTGGAGATATGAAAGAGAACTTATTTATTAATCCATTTGGACTAATAAACTTGTCATACAAATACCTAGAAATGAACAACAATTGATATTAATATATTTGTCACCAATGTGAATATTAGTCAACAATACAAATAACATTAATATTAATAATATATTTGTCAAATAAGAGAATATTTGTAATAATAGAGGTACCTGCAAAATACAGTGATAATAGATGCACTTAACCAATTGTGATCAAGAAATCTCCTTTATACTCTCTACACGTAGTTGCTCTAAAAACTCCTCACCAAATATACTTTCCTCCATTTTTATTTGAATTAATGATCCAACCCTCATCATCTTTTTCACATACATATCAAGGAAAGGTAAATTTGCAATACCAGCTGAACCGCCAACTCTAGGAGACTCTTCGATTTTGAATTTTTTGTTACTTTTGTTGGGTGATGAAACTGAATATTCAACACTGTGTTGAATATTGTTACCTTTGTTTTGGGATTGACCAGGAATCTAAAAAGTTGTATTAATTAATATTAGTGATCAAATAATAAAACAAGTAGCGATCAAGCAACTTGATTATAAGTAATTTACCTTTTCACATTCAGCAACAAATTCAAGAAGTTTCGTTGGCCATGGCACAATTGTTCCTATTGCTTGACCAACCATGGATACATCTCCATCTTCAACAGATATAGGCAATGGGGCATTTGGCACAATAGCAACTTCGATATTAACCTTGACATATCCAGGTGGTAACGTCATGCCATGTACCGTGTTACCTTTGGTGTTATATAGTTTTCCACGAGCAACCAAACAACGACTCGGGGAGGATAAATATATATTAACAGGAAAGAGACCCTAAACCAATAAGATATGAATAAAAAGATTAACATCATTATTGAAAGAACAAACATATCGAATTTGAGAGATAATAAAGAAACCAATTACCTCGGGAATGTTGCCAAATGATCCAGGGTTGCAAGAACCTTTATCACTAGGTAGTCGACTCTCAGCTACTTTTTCTGGTTGTTTCCTTTCTACCACTTGTTCAAGGTGTTGCCTCTGTGCCACTTTTTCAGGTTGTTGCAACCTCTCTGACACTTGTTTAGGTTGTTGCCTTTCTTCCACTTCTTCAGTTTGTTGCCTCTCTAGCTTCTCTCTATCCAACTTATCTCTCTCAATCTTTTCTCTCTCTAGCACCTCCAATCTACTTTTGAGTGAATTACAAAAGCCATACAATTTTTCAAAATCCATTTGTGTGGGGCGATTTTGGCGTGGTAATATGTCCCTAGAACATACCCCAAAACCATAAGTCCTAACACGTCCAGAGTAGTTTGGGAGATTAAGAGCCTCAAATAATATGTTTGTGGGACCAAGGTCTTGTCTCTCTTCTTCAGATAGAGCTTCTGTTAACTTCTCCTGACATTGATAAGTATAAAAGAAATAACCAATAGTTAGATACAAGTTGCAATTAATGGCTATTCTATCAAAATAAGACACAAAGACTCAATTAATTAAGGAAAATCGAGTTTAATGACTTCAAACTAACTAACAAAATACAAATTCGGTAACAATGATGAGTATAGAAAAAGTGTCACATCTATAATGTGAGCATTTTGGAAATAACATCTATAGTGTCACATCTAAAATTCGACTTACACATTGATCCACAACTCTTTGAACATTCTCATTATCAATCACCCCGCTCTTATTGACGCGGGCAGCCTTCCACACTTGACTACGGTTTATCTCACCAACTTCTGACTCTTCTACCTGTATATACATTTTTACAAATTAACATAGCAATTAAATTTTTTTATAATATTGTATAGTACATTTATACACATACTTACCATATCAGCTTCAAGACGAGCACACCCTAAACGTGACTTTCTATAGGGATGTTGAGGATTTAACGCTCTTTCTCGATTCTCATCACTAACTTTCTGCATTTATTATAAAAAATGCATCCCACAACACTATCACTAATACTATAATCATGCAAAACTTTAAGGATCCATATCCAAGTGATAAAAGTATTACCTGAAACTTTGCAGTCATATGTTGGGCTACAAATTTATCCCAATCATCTTGTTTTATACAAAAAGAATATTTGGCCGGACGATGTTTAACAAAACCACCCTTACTATCTTTTAGATATGACCTCGCCATTTTTGTTCTGAATGCCCTGTGCAACTTTCCAGCTTCTCTATATACAAAGGCACGATGTTCCTCGCCAATTATAAAAGCTTTCTGCAAATAATTCAGTTTATTAAAACATAGTTCAGTTTATTTAAACATTCCAATGGATAGATTAACGAAATTAAAATTTTACAACTAGCTTAAGTTAGTGTGTTACTTCAATTTCATCCCAAATGTTTTGTTTATAAACCCCCACAGCCTCTTTATTTTTTTTCGCGCTCCAATTGTCCAAGCTTATTGGAACTAACCGACGAACTGTGACACCAATGAAACTAGCAAAAGTCTTGTTATTATGCTTGATTGGTTGACCTCTGGAATTCCATTGAACCTATAACAAAATTAAAGTGCAAATAAAGAATCAACAGTCTCACTAATAGTGTTTAACATTCAAATAGTTTCAAACAACTAACTCATAAAAGATAATCATGTATGTAACCATCACTCATACATAGTTCAGTAAAAGGAAAATTGCCAAGAGAGTAAACAGTATCATAAAACTCTAGCTATTTTACCTCAATTCTCTTTCCATTGCTTTTGGCTTTGTGAATTTTTTGCAATCGGGTCACACCACGTTTACCAACTGTTTTCTTACTAGACGAACCACTTTCATCATCAATAGAAGCCATATTTCACCTATAAAAATTTAAAAAGTTATATACCATACAAGAATAACATTAAGAAGCAATAACAATAAAAAAATGAAAAACAAATAAATAAACCATACAAGATTAAGTCGGCATTTTCCTCTTCCTTGTAGTTGGATTCCTACTTTTCTGTTTTCTAGTTACATAAAATGATGGATTGATCCAAATCCCATCACTATGATTGTTTCTCATATAAAGAATATCATCTATAATTGATTCAGACTCAAGGGATTGTGAAGTATTAAAGAAAGGGTCATCCTCAACATCTATATTTGGAGTGGTGTGATCATTTATTTTGTTACTTAGAAACACAATAGACCACTTTTCATCAGCAGGATCAGTGACATAGAACACTTGGTGAGCTTGTGATGCTAAAATAAAAGGCTCGTCTTTATACCCTACTTTATTAAGATCGACCTTCATGAACCCAGGGTCAACTTGAAGGCCATTGTTATTGTCAACCCACTTGCAACCAAACACGGGCACTTGAAAGCATGAGTAATCCAATTCCCAAATACGTTCAATGACCCCAAAATATGACAATTTGGAAAATGCGGGATTTCTATTTTTGGAACTTGAGATATGCACAGATTCAACTACGAGTGTGACACCGCTATTTTGCACAGTGCTTTGATGATCATGTTCTTCTGTATAAAATGTATACTTGTTAATTACATAACCAGAGTACGATAGAACATTTGAATTTGGACCATTTGCTAGCCATCTCAATCTTTCTGAAATTGAATCAGGATTTTTAGCAAATTCTGAAAAAATGTGTTCTTTTAGCCACGGTATAAAAATTCGATTGTGTTCTCTTGTTAACCAATTTTCACTCTTATTAGGGTTCAAACTTTGAAGTATTTCTTTGTGCTTTTCAACATATGGCTCAACCTCATCAGCATTGTGTAGAACATACAAGTGTGATTGCTCCAATTCGATGTCTGACATGGTTACTAGTTTACTTGCACCAATCCCTTCCCCTGTTGTTTTTCCAGAGTGTCGTGACATTGGAATCCCTATGGGCTCAATATTAGAGAGGTATTCAGTACAAAACTCAATGGCTTCTTCAACTAAATATCGTTCAACAATACAACCATCTGGTCGACTTCGATTCTTCACGTACCCTTTTATTATCTTCATGTAACGCTCAATCGGGTACATCCACCTCATATAAGCTGGTCCACAATATTGTGTTTCCATTATAAGATGGACTGTAAGATGAACCATTATGTCAAAAAATGAGGGTGGAAAATACATCTCAAGCTCACATAATGTGACAACAATTTCCTTTTGTAACGTCGGTAACTTCTCAGGGTCAATAACTTTGCTACAAATAGCTTTGAAGAAAAAACAAAGTTTAGTTATGGTCCATCGCACATTTTCAGGTAAAATGGAACGTATAGCCACTGGAAGAAAGTTCTCCATTAAAACATGACAATCGTGAGACTTTAAACCCTTCAATTTGAGATCTTTCATAGATACCAAACTCTTAATGTTTGATGAGTAGCCCTCTGGAACTTTAACATTGTGAAGAACCTTACACAAGATCTTTTTCTCTTTTCTTGACAGAGTATGAGCTGCTGGAGGTAGAAGTGTACGCTTCCCATCCCTCTTAACCGGTTGTAACTCATTTCTTAATCCCATACTTTGCAGGTCTAACCTTGCATTAATGCCATCCTTAGACTTTCCTGGAAGATCGAGTAATGTACCAACGACACTTTCAAACACATTTTTTTCTATATGCATCACATCAAGGAAATGTCTAACATACAATGACTTCCAATACGGCAATTCAAAGAAAATTGACTTTTTTTTCCATCCTCCCTTTACAAGTTCACTTGAAAATGGCTTTCCAAAATTAGTGCTCAAAAGCTTTACCTTTTGGTATAATTGATCACCCGTCAAAGCCAAAGGAGCTCTATTTTCTTCTGATTCACCATTAAAAGCTTTTCTCCATTTTCGAAAATGATGGTTGGTATTTAAAAATCTACGGTGTCCAAGAAATACATTCTTCATACAATACTCCAATCGTATTGAATGTGTACCATCTTCACATATGGGGCATGCAAATTTTCCTTTGACACTGTAGCCTGATAGATTCCCATAGGCAGGAAAATCATTGATTGTTCCAAATAACATAGCCCTCAAGTTGAAGGATTCTTTTTTATACTCATCATATACCTCCACACATGTCTCCCACATATGCTTTAAATCTTCAATTAATGGAGCCAAGTATACATCTATATCATTTCCTGGTTGCTTGGGCCCAGAAATTAACATACTCAACATCGTGTATTTGCGCTTCATACATAGCCATGGAGGTAGGTTATAAATCAACAAAATGACTGGCCAAGAAGTAAGTTTACTACTTTGAATACCATGAGGATTTATTCCGTCAGTAGACAATGCAAGACGTAGGTTTCTTTCTTCCTTCCCAAAATTTGGGTAATCATGATCAATTTTTGCCCATTGAGGAGAATCTGCGGGATGTCGGAGCATTCCATCAACAACCCTTTCATTTGCATGCCATGTTAAGTTCTTTGCGTCTTCTGCATTATGATACATGCGCCTAAATCTTGGTATTATCGGAAAATACCATAGCGTTTTGGCTGGAGCTGTTTCTTTCTTCTTATAGCGTGGGGCACTACATTTAGGACACATATTCAACGATGCATACTCCTTGCGAAATAAAATGCAATCATTTGGACAAGCATGTATCTTCTCGTAACTCATGCCAATAGAACATAACAATTGTTTAGACTCATACGTTCGACTAGGGAGCACGTTGTTCTCAGGCAAAATATCCTTTAACAGAGTCAACAAGTCTGTGAAGCTCCTATCGGACCATCCATGGCGTGCTTTTAAGTTATACAACTTTAAGACCGTTGACAGTCTTGTGAATTTAGTAAATCCATCATACAATGGAGTCTCTGCATCACTTACTATCCGCTCAAACATTTGAGGACAATCACGAAGATCTTCCTCAATTACATTGACAAATTCTTCAACTCGATCAAACGCATAATTCGTATCTTTTTCAAAATCATTTGATGAATCTCTCCCATTGCTCCTTTTTGTGGACTTGGTTTTTTTTCCCCGTGCATTATCCAGCATGTGTAGCTTTTATCAATTCCATTACATATTAAGTGATCTTCCAAAACATTTGCACTAACATCCGTATAACAACATTCTAAGCAAGGGCATATGATTTTACTAGTGTCTTCAGCATGAGCAATAGCAAACCTAACGAACTCACGAACTCCATCTTCATATTCTTTTGACGCTCGATTGGCAAACATCCATTTTCGATCCATATTTCCTAACAAGTAACATATATAACTAGTTAAAAATTGGTTCTAACAACCAAATTATGTTCCATCTTGGATCATTTCACATTTGAAACTCTACTTTTAAATTGATTATTTCACATATTATGAACTGTATTATAATGGTATCTAACATGCTTATCAATATGATCTATCAGAGTAAAAACTCGAACAGCTGGAATTTCATTATCAAGAGAGTGGTATAGATTGCCTAATACATATATCATAATACCCTCTAAAGTATACTGATCAAAGTTATTAAGTAATATTAATTCATCGTTGGATAGTAAACCATTGTTTTTTATATATTCAATAGCAGAAGGTTTATTATCATCAATAAAGAGTTTTATTAAATTAGGATAATTTTTATATACATCACTTTTATCACTCAGGAATTATAGCATCATCAGGAAGTATTCAATTCAGATAATACTAATATTGGGTTTACTACTTTTTCTATTTAATATAATATTAAGGATCCACTAGTTTGTAAAGCTCTATATTCTCAAACCCACTTATTTTTATTAAACCACATAAAAACAGGACCAAGTCATGATTACGTTCTAAGGTTCAAACAAAAGGGTCTTCATATTTTATACTCACATGCCAAATTTATTTCCAAGACATTATTATAATAATAATTAATTTGACTTGTTGTAATAAATACTACAATATCACCATTTTATGATAATGAAATAAATTTTTACAGAACAATATCTCAATACCCAAATCAGCAAGCATATTATATTTTGAAGTTGATACCTATTACCCCCCACAGTGACCAATCATAGGAAGAGAAATCATGAACTCAAACTTCCAGATATATATACATCAAGAACAAAGAAAGCTACAAGACAAACTATTTTACATATTATTTTATAAAATAATAAGGGCAAAACAGTAATTTTGTTAAAAAAAATTAAAAAAACAAAAAGAAAAACTGCAGATCCGCTCCGCCCGGGAAAAACCCGCGACGGGCGATCCGCTATGTCATGAAAAGCGGCCGCTATCCCATCTCCGCTACCGCCCCCATGTTAGCGCGCGGGAGGCCACTGCTCTGCTACGGAGCGCCGCTATAGCGGCCGCTACGGCCGCTTTTGACAACTCTGATCTAAACTGGCAATTGCAATGCCATCTCACAAAGTCCTGGGTCAGTGTCTAAGAGGGTTTTTGTTGCAAAATCTATACATGGATTCATCTAAGAAATATCGAGTGGTATGTCAGAAGGACCTGAATTTTCATTTGCCTCATTAGTATCACAACTTTCAGCAGCAACAACAGCACATTCTGAATGATAAAGTCTTATACAGGTGAAAACACATTGCACTCTTGCACTTTTATTTTCTTATGATGCTCTTCAGCAGCAGCAGCCGATTGGTTGTTTGGTTGTTAGGTTTGGCTCTTCAGCAGCAGCCAAAAATTCAGAATGCTTAATGTTCTCAAGCTCAGAAGCAGTTTGAGAGTTTTTGTAGGCTTAAAACTTTCTCCAGCGAGAGTTTGTATTCCATACAAGGATCTGTTAGTACTTATCCAAGAGGAAAGTTAACTCAAGGGAGTGCTCGAACTCTCCGTCAATTTGTCCATATGTTCTTTGACAGTAGCTAGATTCTACATAGACAAAAAGGAAAAGCATTCCTAATCATTGTCAATACCATGCTTCTAATACCATGCTTCTCTACAGTCTTCTCGGGAAGCATTTTCAGAGTATACAATTTCAGGATAAGAGTGTTCCTTTTGACTTCCCTAAGGTGAATTCACTGTGTTTGGGACACTGAAGTATTTTCTCTTTAGTCTTTGAACTACATTAAACTGTTCAGCAACATCATTAGGCAGCAGTACACGTTCTTCCACAATTGTGATCACTTCTCCCTAGCTGAATTTCTTGTTTTAACCTATCAGATTGGATCATACTCAATCCCAACAAGGTCCTTCAATGCATAGCTAGGCAAATAGATATCTTTTCTAGTACTTGTATTTGTGCTGACTATTGTTAAGCTTTTCAATTTTTATTGAACTCTTATTGGAAGGTGCTTATCCGGGGAAGCTCCATTTGTGCAAACTGGAAACACTTTCAGCTAAGTCAAACTTCCCTTCTTTATTTCTGATCCAAACCTTTAGCTCACCATAGAACTGAGCTGGTCAATTGGGTGCTGACAGTTAATGGCATCCCAGAAACATAGTTAAAAACATATACAAAACTTATGGGACTCAGTGTTGTTGTCCCCGAGAGAAATAAGAAATAGGTCAGAACTTTGCACTGACTAGAAATATGTTCAGAGATAAACATGTACAAAGATTCTCCTGCTCGAGCAGCAATGGGAATCTGTTGATCATGCGCTATTGCGTTCAAATTGGAGCTCCAATCCATGCCAACTAACAGTGTTGGTTTCATGATTACTCCTTATTGAGAAAGAATCACTGACTCAATTTTGTCGAAGTAGAAGTGTCTAGACTACAGATAATTAAGCTTAAGACGGGGAAGGAGGGTAAGCAATGAAATAAACTCAAAAAGAGTACACTTTTGTTTAAGAAAAACAGCTATGATCTCTTTTCCACTGTGTTAATATGAAGAAGATATTGTTCTCGGGTAAGAGACTGTGCAAGAACAGATAAGAAATCTATGATAAAACAGAAAGGAAAATGTACAGACATTGAAAACACTTCGAAGGATTTACTTTCTGCTTCCCAAACCTCGCAATTCTGTTATCTTTCTCTCTGGCCATCTCCCCTCTTCTCCTTTAATCCCATTCCAACTCCCTAAATCTAATTCCTGATCTCCTCTCTTCTCCTTTAATCCCATTCCAACTCCCTAAATCTAATTCCTGTCAAACGGGTAGATTGTTACAAATTACAATCAATGTTGTCAAAATAGCAAGTTTACCTAAGCGCAATCCAGAAAATTTCACACAAATTTCAAATTCCATGCACACTTAGGATAGCAATTTGGTGGATCAGATTAGAATCCCTGAGGAAATTCATAAAACTAGCGGAATCGATGATTTTGACCTAGTAATGGTGGATTAGAGTAAAATCACTAAGGAAATAAAATCAGTGGGATAGGTATTTCGACCTAGTAATTCTTCTGGTCCCCACAATCAATTTCGCACTCTGAGCCAACTTGCTTCACACCCGGATCCAAATAATAAATCTTACACCTCAAACATAAAGCAATATTTTAGCAAATAATTTTCCAAAACTAATTTTCCTCAAGGCTAACAAACACACCTAGTTTATGAACAGTGTCAAGTATATAGGAAAAAAGAAACTAAATGCGTAGCATATCAACATGGTAAACTATAAGCTATTTGAGAATTAGTTAAAGCAGCATAACTTGACTATGGTATCATAAAAGCAGTTTTAAACTGTTGTCGGATTCGCAGATGCAATTGCAACTTAACCTCACAAACCCTCATTACAGCTACTCAAAATCACGAATATCCGTCAACACAAAGACATCATAACGCTCACAAACAACACAGAGAATCAACGGATAACAGAAACTGAAAAAAGAAATATTACCGGATACAAATGAAGAGAGGGATGCCGACGACGTAGGTGAGATGACAAAGGGTTGAGTTCGACGGAGAATGAGATTTGGTTGTTCTTTCTTTTCGGTGTTTCCTCCTTCTGTTTGAGTGTCGTTTGAGAAGTGAATCTGAATCTGAATCGATGGTGAATCCGATGGCTGAAGAATGGATCCGGGTGAAAACCGAAGGAAGGGATGACGGTGGTAAATCAATGACTAATGGCGGTGAATCAATGAAAACCGAAGGAAGCAGAGGAAGATTTGACGGCGGTGAATCAGTTGGGAGAATCAATGGCTAAGAAGGAAGCAGAGGAAGATAGTGTTTTTGTTTTTGGCGGTGAGTGGATGCGGTGAGTGGATGCGGGAAGATAGTGTTTTGTTTTGGCGGTGAGTGGATGCGGTGAGTGGATGCGGTGAGTGGATGCGGGAAGACAGTGTTTTGGCGGTGAGGAAGATAGTGTTTTCTGAAAATGTATTTTGTTTTTTTTTTTATCAATTAATTAATTAATTCATTATTATATATAACATAGCGCTTTTTAATAAATGCTATTATATAGGTAGTCAAATAATAGCGTTTTATACAAAATGCTATCTTAAAGAAGTTTAATAATAGCGTTCTGGTACAAAGTGCTATCATAATTACATAGTCTGTATTATATAATAGCGCCCGATTAAAAAGTGCTATTATAAATGTGTTTTTTCCATTTTAATAGCATTTTTTTTAAAAGTGCTATTAAATTAGGTGATACAAAAAATCATTTTTGGCGTAGTGATTTTCCAATTCAATGATAACCGACCCGTAAGGTAAATATTGAGGCTAATCTTACAAGTTATATAGATGAAGGACTTGTTAGGTGTGTCACCAATAATGATGATTTATTTGTTGTTTCTCCCAAATAGTTGTCTGATATTGACTCTTGCATCATAAATATGAAAAAGAAGGGAAAAGTAACAACCTATTAAAGTACAAAGAACAATGCTATCAATTAGCACAAGAAGTACAAAGCTGATAATAAGAATCATACATCAAGTAAAAACATCCAAGAAAACTAAAGGATCAACCTAACAAAAAAGGAAAAACTCTAAACACATCTCATAAACTATCTAGAGAACAAGCAACACAAAGAAGAACACACAAACAATAAAATCTCTCCTTCTACTAGGAGACACATGTTATATCTCAAACAACATAAATCACTGTCAGCAAAAGAATCCTCCAAGAAAAGCACCAAGAATTCCACTACATAAGTTAGATTAAAGACTCTCGAGTCGTTATTGATTTAGATAGATGATAAGGTTCTCAAGTCAAATAGAGAAAGTATAAAAGTTGACTATAAACCTACCAAAATACCATTTCCAAGCTAAGAAAATGCTCTTTTATTACACACCCTTCGCATTTATTGACGATTTAGAAAAAAACTATATCATTTTAGGAAATCTAAATGACCAGACAACAAAATGTCAAATCATAACAAGTTCACCCCTAAATCTGAACACATCACCCATATAGATAAATAACTCAAAAAAGATCTAACATCCATCGGGAAAATCTCAACCATATAAATATTCTATACCACACAATCGAAACCACCTCACAAGATATGAAAAGATGAAAAACTAACTCTTTCAATCCCCTATACGTAAGAAATTTCAGCAAAATTGACTATAGTCTCTTGCTTAAAGAGAGTCTCTCTTATGCAGAACTCATCTTGCATAAATTATTGGAAAAACATCACTTTAAAAGGAGACCAACTAACTCAAATGAGAGGAATGATTAACTCCCCATACCTAAAAAAGAGAACAGGATATTTATCTTTATGTTTAGTTGGGTAGAGTGTAGGTGATAATCAATAGTTTTTTTATGATATCTTAATGAAGGATAAAAAATATAATAAAAATATTTAAAGGACATAATTGTAAATAAAATAATTTAATGAAGGATAAAATTGATATACTATTTATTTATCGAACACTTATTTATTATCTGGTAGAAGAAAACACGTGGATTTACGAAACTTCAATAAAAAGGTTGTGAAAAAAAATATTTTGGTTAAAGATTCTTGGCATAACAATTTTTATTTTATTTATGAATATGAATCATCAAACATATAGTCATACTATTGTCAAAAAGAAAAATCAAACATTTAGCTATACTATTGTCAAAAAGAAAAATCAAACATTTAGTTATTATGTTGTCAAAAAGAAAAATCAAACATATAGTTATATTATATATCATCAAATATATATATTGACCTTTTATGTTTGCAAGCATGCAACTAGTAAAAACTATTATGGACATAAAATAAGGGGATAATATGCGTGTAAGAATAAATAACTAAATAATTGACTACTTCTAGACGAATAGTCATACAATAATTTATTTATTAATTGAATAACCAATTATGAAATTAATCATCACAATAATTCCACAAAATAAAAAAATAAACATAGTTTATGATAGATATTAAGATAATTTCATTTTCAAGCATCCTAACTTCACCGAGTCATGTATTCAACTCCTGGAGCTGTTGGTGCCATGGCTACTCCTCTACTTCCTTGTGCAACATTTCCATGCCACCCTAGTTGCATGTCAAATCCACGGTTTTGAAGCTCACGATATTCTTGACACAATGCACACGATTCACAACACCAATGAACTAAGCAATCACAACATGGTGTGTCTTTGAGCATGTATTGTTGTCTCATCTTGTTACGGTAGATGCATGAGTATAAACATCCACAACCAGTTAAACAACATATCACTGTGTAGAGTGATCCACTTACAAGACATGCTGCATTAATACAATTATTCAAACAATATTATTTTTTAATTAATTAAATAATTAATAAATGTATAATTGTATGTCTTACAAGAGGTTCCTTTGTCAACAATCTCAGCAATTCGACCAAAGGTGATGCATGGACACCAATAAGTTATGCAACCTAAAAATGTAAATAAAATTAGTAATAATTATTAGAATAATGGATGGTGCAATTAATATATTATGTGGTAATTAGAAAAAAAAATCACATACATGTTTGGCAGTCGGAGAAGCAGTCACATAGACCGGTGGACCATTCTTGGGGGCCGGTTTTATGGTGGTGGCCGTCGTGCACCGGGAAACCAGTGGCTGGTGGTGGATAAGGTGGTTGTGCATAATGTAATTGTGAAGTTGGAGGATTCATAACTATTGGTTGGAAAAATAGAGATATAGATGATATGGTGGAGTTTGTGTTATGTTATGGCATGATAATTTTGTAGGTGTATTTATAAGCATAATGTTTGAGGAGGCTTGGAATGAATTAAGAATAGTTCTTGATTAAGACCATGTCAATGTGTGACATTGATTGATTAATTACTCAATTAACGTGTGCAAGTTGGTGGAGAATTGAGACTAGTAATTTGAATGATATAATAAAATAATAGTAGTTACGTAATTAACAAGGTAGGTTGGTTTGATCTTTCATCGTCTTGAGAGGCTGCTGCATACGTGGAATCCGGCGAGCTAAATTGAATGAAACAGCCCAAATTCGGCAGGCTCCCATCAAAATAAACATCACTTTCAGTATGAGGAATGAAATGATAAATACAAGAAAATTTGGATTTTAAAGATCTTTTTTGTAATCAAAGATTTACAAAATTCTTTTTGAGAATAATATAAAATTTTGAAGACTCTTCTAAAAAAAGTAACAAAAATGTAAGTTTTAAATGAAAGGGGAAACAAAATGAAAAAATCAACACAAAATATTTGTATTGATTAATCGTCAATTTAATACTAGTTATGAGACCCTTCACCCTCAAATATTTTACCAAAGTTTTATAAACTAAAAATTATAATAGTCACTACAAGAAAATCATTCTCTTGTCGGAGGTTTATGTCAAAGGCAAAATTCTTCCCATAAAATGACATTATTTTGATAGGGGTATTGTGGTATCCCAATTTTTTCTCCTAAGATTCCTTCATCATACCATATTGTTTTAATCACAACAAGATCACATCAGGATTTTTGGTTCTTCTCCTTATCTTTAGTCTTGCTCTTTTGAGGAGTTACTAAACACCTTGACTTGTTTTCTTTTGTGATCATGGATATTTTGCTTTGATTTTCTCTCTAATTAACAAAATACAATGTTGATTTGTCTTACTTGTTAATAATGTAGGTAAAGGCAATGAGGTTTAGCAAGTTGCTTCATGGGTTCATGAGTTTATTTCCATACCCTAGTCAATAGCTTGAGAAATTCAAAACTCACCATTAAAGTTGTTTTGGAAGAATTGGTATGGAAGTGGTTTTGGTGGACATGATTCCTCATCATCATCCTCAACAATTTCTATTCATAAAGGAAGAATATTGGCACAAAAAGTTTGTTCAAACTTGGCAAAGTTCCTTAAAGCATTCTCTTGATCTAGAGGCTAGGGTTTTGGACTTCAAAGGAGCATATCTTGCTCATCTTTTGGTATTTTTGAGTGATTCCAAAAACATCCTTCTCTTCAAAGAGTTACCAATAAATCACTTCAAAAGTTCCAAGGAGTTTTCATGTGGAAGGAACTTGGTGAAGAAGAAAGATTACAATTCACACAAATGAATCCCTAATTTTCCATATGTGACTTCAAATGGTCATAACATGGTCAATTTTTATCACCTTGAGTCCATTCTTTTTTCATGATGATCTTAAGGATGTGTAATTCATGCCTTCTTTTATGTGCGAAGTAAGAAAATGGATGGAAGTTGCCTTAAGAATTCAAGAGATTATAGGTCATTTCATGATTTTTGGCCAACTTCAACAAGTCATAACTTGCTCAATTTTTGGAGATTTTGAGTGGTTCAAATTGAAAAATGTCATTCAAGATACCTACTTCATTCCATCTTTTTTGGTCAAGAGAAAATTCTAAGTGGAAGGCCATGTTTGGATGTAAAGGATTATAGGTCATTTTTAAAGAAGAATTTGAAATATTTCTAAGTATGGAAAGTCAACTTTTTTTCTTCAACTTTGACTCCATGTAACTTTCAGTACAAGCATCCATTTGATTCCATTCTTTTTCCATTACCAAGCTTGTAACCTCATCTTTCCAAAGCATTAAGAATTATGCCCTAAGACCCCTTGAGGAGGAAATGCCATGGATTTGAATTTGGTAGTTTGAAACTGAATTTTGCACAAAGTCAGAATTTTGAAATCTTTGTTTTGGCTTCTAATCACAAGATTTCCATGCGTTTTTGTTTCTAATCATGTTTAGCAACTTTCCAGAAGTGATTAACATCATGAAACGCACGATTTGGCTGAGTTTTGATCAAGTTTGAGTCACACTTTCTTCATGATGAAAACCCACACGAATTCCCTCCAAAACGCATCATTTGCTATTCCTTTTGATCCCATTTTCTTCTCTATAAATAGAGGGTCATTCCCCATTCAATTTCCCAAGCTTAGATAGCCAGAATCACCCTGCCAAACTTGCTTCACAACCCATAATTCAGCAACTTCGAATTATATTCTCAAGCCTTTTTCAATCCATTTTTTCCCCTTAATTCACCTTCCTTGATCTTCCCTGAAGCTAACCATATAATTACATTCAAGAATCGTACCCTATATTGCTCCATAGAAGTCCAGTTTCAGAGCTCTGCAACTCAACTTCAATAGGTAGTTCCTTCATCAATTCTTCAAAACTTTGATATCACTGTGATGCTCTCATTGCCCTGGTTCTAGTTGCAACACAAACTTTCATCTGGAAACTCCTTTTGACCATGAATTTTCAAATCCCTTTTCATTACTTTCTTTCCAAATTGCTTGAGCTACAATTTATATAAATTTGGCGCGAGGGTCTGGTTGTCTTCGTCTTGAAGAGACGAAGCGAATGGCATAGGTCCGAGCTTCTGATTTTACAGTTTGAGAGACCTGCAATTCGTGATGGCTGGAGGTTGAAGATGAACAACGTGTCATCTTTTAACCAATGAAGGCGCGCCATCTATATTTTTCAAATTCTGATTTTATTATTGATTTTGTACATTATTCATTAAAGACCATGATATGCACAACGCGTCAGATCCCTTGGATTTAATTACTAACGCGTTTTGACTCTCATCCAATGGTCCACATCTTTTACTTTTATTTTCTTTTTCTGATTTTTATACTTTAATTGTTTTAAATTTCAAAAAATCATAGAAAATTCATTTTTAGTCCAAAAAATCTAAAGAATTATGAAAAATATTTTTGATTATTCTCTTTCTAATTTTTTTTTTCACAATTTAATTTTTTGTTTTGGTATTTTTTATAAATTCTACACTTATTTGATTTGTTTAAAATGTTTAAAAATACTTTTATATATTTTTAAATTCTAAAAAAATTATGGATTGATCCAATGATATTGTGACAAATATTGGTGACCTTATTTTATTTTTGTTTATGACTTTACTGTTTTTTTACTATTTTTGTTTATTTTACCCATTTATTTTAAATTTTAAAAATAGTTTCTGACTTTTAAAAATTCTCAAAAATTTTGTAAAATTACTTGGCCTCTTTTCTGATTTTTCTATGGTTTTATTTATTTTTCATTTCTTGATTAATTTGAATATAATTGACATTTTCCTCATTATTTTCCTTTTTTTAAACATTTTTAAACCTTTTAATGTATATATTAATTATATTATTATTTTGTGATTATTTTCTGGCTATCTTGTGTTGATTTTTTGATCATGACTTTATTAACATCATTGGATCCATGGTGTTGAGTTTAACTCCACAAAAATGGATGAATGATTTTAATAATAGTTTGATTAAATATTAATTCAAATGTGATTTCTCTATTTACCCTAATTCCTCTTCATCTCATCCCCTTCTCATTGCACTAAATGTTGTTGGAGCATGATCTTTATATCATGTCTCAAAACAAATGATGCATAGATTGCTATTGACCGACCTTAAAATAGGTGCGACTTCTATATAAGTCCACTTACGATTGCTTAACATATCGCTAAATTTTGTCACGATTCGAATAAATGATCATTCGTGGCCCAAACTTATGATTGCAAGCCCAAGTATGTTAATTTGATCTCTTTGATCAAATAACCTTGAGATTCATTGTGTGGAGGCTTTGGTTCTACCAATCCTCTAATGGATCTACAACACTTTTGGTCAATGCGGATCACTTAAACATCATTGATCATTAAATGGTACTTATGAGAATTCCAAATGGATGATATACTTGACAAAAAGAAAATGCAACTTGTTGTGTGGAGGCTTTGGTTCTACCAATCCTCTAATGAGTTCTAAATGCAAGTTTCAAGATGGTCATCCAACTAACCACTAATTATTGACTTGTTTATTTTATGCCTTTATTCTTTTATGCTTTATGTACTATTTATCTTTTAGCATTTTTCATTTCATGCCATTTTCATCTTTGCACATTTGAGCATTTATCTTCTTGCCATTTTTACTTTGCTCACTTGAGATTTTCTTTTTCTTTTCCTAAGATACTTAATAATCAATTTAAACCCTAAAAAACTTTGAATGATACTTGGACTATATGGTTACTATCCTTGGCATTATGGAGTATGGGACTTTTTCTTGGACTTAGGATTAGAAACCTTGGCCTTTCTTGGAGACCTTGTGATCTTATCTGATTATTTTGTCTGGAGATCTTGAGGTTTACCTCAAGACATTGGGTTGCTTATTTGTTTTTGTGTGCAGGTTTTTGTGATTACATCCTTTGTTTTTAATCTGGAATTCACTCGTATACAACCGTTACTCTGCCCAATTTTTGTGAAAACTTAATACACTTGAAGAGGTCTAGTATCTTTGCTTGCTTGGTTCCAATCCAAAGAATGAGAATTCTATCTTGGTTCATAATGTCAAGTTTTGGCTTCTTGTTGGTTAGATAGTCCTTATCTTTAGCTTTGACTTTATGCTTCAGGATAGTCTCTTCTTCTCCTCCCACCTTCTTTATTTTCAAAAATCTTCTCCCTCCTTTGGAAAACTCTTCTTGTTTTGAAACTTAAACCACTTTCATAATAAACTTGGACTTAGGTCCATGCATTTTCAAAATATTTTCATAAATAAACTCCAATCAATTTAATAATACCTTGACATTTTTTGTGAGAAGACTAAAAGTCAACCAATCTCATTTCAAACCATTTTGCCACTTTGGCTTTTATCTTTTAACTTTTTCTTAAAAGATTAGACTCTTGTCAATCCTTAT